GATGATCTTCTGCTTCATGATCATCATCGTTTGTTGTTGGCATCTAAATGTTTTAGTTTCATGTTCCTTTTTTGTCATTGCTTAGGCTTCATTACTTCAAACATGTTCAAAGACTACATTGATTGCTGAAGCGGATAAATTTATGGGGAATGCAGTTTTCAAGGAGCGATCTAAATGTTTTTTATTCCACAGATTTCATAATCATGCCCTTTCTACTCACATTCATAATCTCAGTACTACTCTTAATTAGTAGGTGGAATTAGGTCGAGGTGAGTTGGGAATGTTTGGGAACAGGAATTTGGATCTGATTGTGGAAACAGATCTAGGGCACGCAAAGTATCGATTGACTTGATATATTCTGTGTGTTGTAGTATTACGCAATTGATTTTCTCTGCTGATTTTAATCGCACGTTGAAACTGGATTTTTTCTTTTGGAATATCGTAAATCTTTGTTTCCTTCTCAGCCTACTAATTCCAGTACATTGGGATGCCGTCAGACGCAAAGAAAGCGAGAGATGCGGCTAAGAAAGCTGCTGCTAAGCAGCAGAAAAGAGGAGGAAAGAAGGTAGAACAGAAAGAAGATCCCGCGACTGAGGCTCAGACAAACGGGGAAACAAAAGAGGCAATTACTAACGGTGCAGCAGTGAATGACGATCAAATAGATGGTTAGTCTATTATTGTAGTTCTTTTCCAGTTCAAGAAAAGTTGCTATCAATCATTTCTTTACTAGTTCTTTTGTATCCTGCAAAATCTGTCTTTTAGCGACCATCGACGCCGCAGCTCTAACTCTGGAACAGATTGAGATTGATAATGCTAAAGCACGATCAGTTGCTGGTGCATTGACTTCGAATCCCAGAGGTCTCGATCACAAAGTGGAAAGTTTGACGGTATGCTGCAAAACACCATTTTGAATGTTTATTCTAGCTAAAACACCATGAAATTCTATGTTATAGTTCATTTTCAGATAACATTCCATGGACGAGAGATTGTGGTTGACACACAGCTTGAATTGAATCATGGTAGACGGTACGGGTTGATTGGATTGAACGGAAGTGGTAAGTTTGATATCATTTGCTTTTCGCACCTATTTTTC